ATTACTATTTTAAATTTCATACACTAAAAAATTCCCACTGGGTTTCTTGCTAGTTCTTTCCAGGATAGAAATTTATTTCCGAACCAATGGTAATGCTTAATTGACTTTCCATAAGTATTCTAATAACCTATATTGAATAAAAAATATTCTATTCTATTCCATTCCATTTCGGTAGCGAAGCCGCCATAGAAGCCAAGAAGCCGGGCTCGCCCTATCAAACTGCTCAGTCAATAATATCAACTAATAAAATAACTCTTAAACTGTTTCAAACTATTTCAATTTTCCCGCGCGCTCCTCTGTTCTATACAGGTCATGACCTCGTAGCCTTATTATGTAACGTCAACACTTGGAAGATTGCTTTACTGAGCGATACTGCTGTCATAAAAAAGGAGTTGATTTGAGCGATTAGTCGTCTCTCTCGCACGCGTGGGCTTTTTACCGGGCTTTCGAGAAGACGATCGCACCCTTTCTAACCTGTGGCAAAATGTTCTATAATGAAATACAACTACGATTGTTTATATAGCAATTAGTATGGAGACAAAAGCCCGCCTTTTGGTGTGAAGTTAATCGAGCGCGGGAGCTCAAGCAAACCCAAACGGCTTTTTTCAAAGCTACCGATAGTATGCATATAATCATACAATCTATCTAGCAGTAGTATGCCTTCTGTGTGCTTTGTTAAACACGTCCTCGACAGTATTGAATATGAAACTGAAGAGTAGAGACAGATCAAGATTGGTGTATTTTTATAAAACTGCTAAAAACAACAAAAGCATATCTTGGGTTTGCCCTAGTTTGGAGCCCTAGCTTCGCCACTGTTCCATTCCATGCTAAATGCTAGGAAATATTATTAAGGTGTAGGAATTATAAAGTAAAATGGCAAGTTTTAAATATGCAATTTCCTGTATTTCTAACATATTAGAACTTTATACACTACTTTTTTTATTTACATGAGCATTTTCGCTTCGCAATAATATTACAATTAAAATAAATTTCTCTCTTTATTATATTATTTTACAATTTTTATTCAAACTATAATTATTATTATTTATAGGCAAAGTGACAAAATACTCACACTTCAAAGGCTCAAAAATACTGTTTTCATTCTTACTATTTTTACATACTTTCTTGTGTGAAATAATAATGCAAATTGTGTTTTTGTAATTGCAACGTAAAGAATAAATAGGTATGGAGTGGACTACAATATTCTACTTTCAAAAATAAACCTTAAACCCTCTAACCAGGGTATGTGTTTTAGTAATTATTCAGTGGAACTTCAATTTGTTTATTAAAAGAACAGCTTAATAAAATGAGAGCTATCCACAGCCAATGCAAATTAAAAGTTTTAAATATTAATTAGATGCTACTTAAAAACACTTTTATTATAAATTGTTACTAGGAGATTATATTCACAAGGAGTTACTATTAGCAAAATGAGGTTTTCAGTTTAATCGCTTAGCGAAAAAGCTGTTGATATTGACTCTAATGAGGTAGCTGAGATAGAGCCGTTCAAGCTAAAAGGAGCAGTGTCATACAACACGCTACCTCCATCAAACATCAAATCGCCTTTCATATACATTTTTATAAAATAAATGACATTGTGCGTTACAGTATAAAAATATAACATTTAGAAAAGTTTAATATTAAGCAGAGTTAAGTACCTTTACCTAAAGAAAGCATGATTCCTTTGTATATTGGAAATAAAAAGTATAATGCAGTCTCCTAGAACAATGGCAATAAATAAAGAACTGGAATAATTTTGCCAACAACTTTGCATAATATGTCAATAAGTCTTTAAATGATATAAATAAAATAAATAATATTTAATATTTTCCAAAATGGATACCAGGAACATAACTTTCAGTGTTTGATCACTTTGGATTCCAATTTAATATAAATATGTATTGCACAACAATTTGTGAGAATTGGCTTATAAGAAATATTTATCATACAAATAGAGTTAAAGCTCATGTATGAAGGAGTTTTGATAACCAAAATAACATGTTTGAGTATGATTAAAAGTTAGACACAATTAATTTATGGAAAATGTTAATAAACCAACAATTTCTATTGGCACATATTGCTTTAAAGAACACAGCGCATGTTACTGACTCTAGTCATTAGGTTTCACAAACAGAAGATAACCAGGATATGCAGTTGTAACATTGTCAAGATAACAATAAAACAATCAAGACTGCAAAACTTAACAATTATTGAAACAAGTGAGCTACAGTAAATTTTCAACCCTCAATGTAAAGACTAATTTAATATTAAATATTTCAATCCAGCCAAGCTAATACCATTATGAGTAGAAATATACAGTCAAAGTTTATAAAATTCATATGTATCCAAAAGACTGTTGTATAAATTCTTTGCATAATACCATAAAATGTGTGAAAAGTTGTAATGCAGACATAGAAGTTCAAAATTAGCTTGACTGAGTGAATTACAAAATATACAATTATTTAAAATCAGGTAGGCACACTGTGAGGACGGCCGCTCGGCCCAAATAAGCGCCCGGAGAACAATGGAAAGCAGTTTTTGCATCTATCATTCGTTCTAAACTGATCAATAACTTTTCAAAGATTTTGATAGATGTATGCCACATCTTCTTAGGCTGGAAACACATTATCCGTCGGCCAATATATATCATCATTGCCAGCAGCGTCTTATGTGTACATCCCAAACCGTGTTTGTCATTAGAGGCGACTCACTGTCATTATGTCGAGAGCCATCAAATTAAATGGACACTTATTACTGATAGTTTGTGTGCTGAATGTATAAAAGAAATAGCACCAAAGTAACTTTTGTTACGTTATATACCCCATTTACACTCTCGCGCGAGCGACGAGGCGAGTCGCGAGGCGAGCCACGAGGCGCGAGTGTAAACGCTAGCTCGTGGCTCGCCTCGCAGCTCGCCTCGCCACTCGCGGCACTCGCGTCGGAGGCGGTTTATTGGGCACGAGGCAAAGGGCCTCGCGAGGGACGCGAGCGTGCTGTTCACACTCGCGCTCTCGTTTCAGTTTGTTTACGGCGCCCTTCCGTGCAGGTTGTGTTGTTTTGTTTACACGTTCGACTTCAATTAAAAATGGATTGGTCGCAAGAAGAAACGCTGCAGTTCTTGGAACTCTTATCAGGCTGAGCGAATAATTTGGGATCCAAAACATATTATGCATAAAAATACCCAAAAAGTAAATGATGCGTGGAATAGAATTTCCGAGGTTATGTGCAGACCGCTAGCAGAGCTCAAAGTAAAAAAGAATGCGCTTATGGCTACCTTTCGTCAACACCTACGAAGAAAAAAGCAATCTATGTAATCTTTGAAAAAATCTATGGAATTTTTTTAATTTCCTTCTTTTTAAAATGGTCAAACATCGATAAATATTTATTAAGGCAAGAGTTGACGCCGCTATTATTTCGACGTCTTCCATCGTTGCTGGTTCAACGCAAACTGAACACATCGCGAGAGTGTAAACAGGCACTCGTTACCTCGCAACAACACGCGAGCTGCGAGACGAGGTACGAGGCAAGGCGCGAGGCGAGAGTCTAAATGGGGTAATAGACGCGGCGTCCGACAATATGTTTCCAGCTTTAGTATCTTTCACTACTTTCTGATCTCCTGGTGCTTGTAACCAGCTCATATCACATGATATTCGAATTTTCATAATTTTTTTCATTTCAGCGACACGTAATTAAGCCACTTATTTTAAATAACTAACTTTATTGACTTTATTATTAACACACGATTATAAGAAATTGACAACACCTAAAGACGTCTTTGTACAGAGTTTCCAGTACTACAGTAGCTAACTGCACACATCACAGATATATAGAAAAAATAAACTTTATCTTGTTAGTCTATACAATAACAAGTACACTTTATCGTCTATATCTATGTTTTCACAATGAGTGGTAAGATAATTTCTAAAGTTGCAATAACATCTCACAAATTGTTATAATTAGTTGTATTCCTTATCAGAGAGAAATCACTTCAAATATAAGAATATACGAGATTGGTGGTCTGTACCAAAATTTATTTGTCTCCATTAGATGGCTAAAAGGGACAAATAAATGTGGCAATATGCATGTTAGCTCTCTTACAAAGGAATCCAATTTCTTCTGCCTTTTTGTTTTGGTTATATATAACTTTGCTCCCCATATTTACTGACGATAATAAATAAATATTAAATAATATTTTAAACCCATCCCATTACTTACATTTATTGTATACAATCACAATGCAGAATTTGTTACCTGTAGAAAAATATAAAGTGAATTGTACACTTGTAAGTTATAAGGGGTGGTAGGTTGTTACATTAAATGTTCACTACAGTTGTCCATCACAATTTGTCACTTTGCTATCACCGTCTGATACACTTCAACAGTACAAAACGTAGATATTGCATAAATATATTTTCACATAATATTCTAACACAGTCTTAACATAAGACGCGCATTATTAATGATCCTGTCACACAAGTGCATAAATTCACCACCACTATTGACGGGCTTCATGTAGAACTGAATGTTTATTGATTCACAGGGAATGGTTACAAGTTAGGGCGCACGTTGCATGTATTTGAGGTAGTAGGCGCGTAGGTAATTATTCAACATCCAAGCTCAGTCTATCATGTATTCCGTATAATCGAATTATTGCTCCAATTGGCAGTAAACAAGTTATTCTATTAAACATGAACAGGGCATTAGTGTGCCGTGTGTTTTACATTCTTGCACTAACGGACGAACATGCTTCTTTTGACACTATAGTGCTATAGCACTCGCTTTAACTTTTCAAATATGATGAGCAACAAAATTTTCTAACATTGAAATTTCGAAAATGGTACACTCAGTATGTGTGTGTTTCCTACTTTATTTTATCAAGACTTCTTTGCCTTTTAAAAGCATTAATGAAATAAATCCTCTTGCTCTATGGTTTTATTAACAAAAGTCTTGAAGTACCAGACGATAATAAGGCGCAGGACGGTTTTATTTAGGCGACGCCCTCACGTAGAAGGGGCAGAAGGCGAGTGAGAGCTCGATACAACAACTACCGGCTTTACAATAGTAGTCGCGCTTAAATATTGCGCACTCACTGTCAGAGGAGCTACGCTCCCTTTAACCATCTGGGTTTCTACCATCTGAAAAAAAAAAGGAAAAATAATTAGTAAACGCTTATTACAGAGAAGCAAACATATTGAATTGAAATGACAAATTCGTTAGACTAGAAGCATCTTCAAAGAAGTTCGTTCAATTCTTCAAAGTTCAATTAATGTGACCATAAAATAAAGCAAATTATACTACAGTAATGAAGACAATTCTTTTGATACCACATACTTGCAAATCATACAAGCCGATTAGGCTACGTTTTAGTATAAATAAACAGATTTACATATTATATATGTACATCTGAAAGCTTACATAACGCTCCTTCTGAGGAAAAGGGATGAAACTTATATAGGTTTCACATTGCGATGTGATTTTGCAGATACAGTAAATATAATAATAAAAATCTATTTTATTAAATAGCTGTTGCTAAGTTAGACGTGATTAACCTAATTGACAAGTAGGCAAATAAATATGGCCTGCACGTCGGTTGAAGGGCTTTTGTTTTCAGAATTAGGAAGTTGGTAAAAGAACGAAAAAGCCCTGAGACTTGCATTGCTTAAAGACCTTGAGATTGTTTAATCCAACTCTGATGTTCGCACACTACAACTAGGGCAATTTTCTATAATAGCTTCGCATTTTACCCAAATAACCTCACTTGGGGCAGGCACTACTTTCAAGCAGCTAAAGTTAAATAGCAGTTATATGAGCGTATTCTAGTGTCGATTTAGCGTTTATATAAGTAACTTAGCTAGTTTAAATTTAATATAATAACACAGGTCACCTTGTGTTCACTATGCACAATTTTAAATTGTTATAATTCAAACGAATGAATTAAAATGGCATTTTGGAGGAACAGAATAACGTCTAAGGTTTTGTTGATATGTCAAAAGTATACAAACTTTCGGGCGGTTCTCTGTAAACTAGGCATTTCATTGTCTGTGCGACAATGAAATGTGACTGTTGAAAAAAAACCGATGGTAACGGTACTAATATAGTCATTATAACTTCTCTACAGGTAAGAATAACATATTTAGAAGAACAGTTGTATCAGGCTGAAAATGTAATTACAGAGTTGAACAAAAAACTCTGCCTTCTGAAACAAGGTGACACACTGATTCAGAATCTGATAATGAAGCTGGACCTAGTTCTGCTACAGTAAAAGCATTCAACACTGGTGAATTACATCCTCGACAAATTGCTTGCTAGATATATGGAATGTAGATATGTGAGCATTATTGACAATATTGATGAAGAAGAAGAGAGAAGAGAAGGCGTAATTCGTGTCACAATCCTAAAACTCTGTGATAACAAAGGCCATACATTCAGATTTGAGCAAGACGATGTGGCAGATGTTGCAATGAACCAGGTGATACAGAAACTCCCCTTTCAAAATATAGTTTTAAAAGGGAATAGAATCTTCTACAAATTTTATTCATCTGTAAATGTTTATGAAAAACAGTAAGACCAAATTATTTACTTATTCGTGACATATTTATATGTAATAAATAATAATCTTTAATTATAATGAGACCGATTGTTAAATGTAAGATTCATAGTACTTAAACATTCTTTCAATGTATGTGATTTTAATTGAATACTTTAATTAATTAGTTATTAAGATTTCAGAATTAGAATTTGAGTATGAGTAGAATATTACAAAAAGACGAGAAGAACGGAAAGCAGAGTAGATTTTGTGTTTCTTTATTGTTCAATTACTTAATTCCTAAGCTATAAAATTTTTAGAAAATAATAAAGAACTGAAATGGTATTTTTCATTTTAAAACACAGTCCCCTGACAACAATCGATATAAGGGGCAACAGTCCCTTATAACGATTTTTCAGAAAACTCACAATATTTTCTAAAGTAATGGAAATATTTTTGGTTCATCTATTATTAACTAGGTGGATATGTGTCGCCTTAATAAGATTTTATAAATATAGATGGAAAAAAAGTTGCCTCTTGTTCCAAGAAAGTTGTGTAACTTTCTTACAACGAGTTGCCCAGTTTACAAAGAAATGCCCATGTCAATTGTACATTGTTATCGCAGCGGCAGTTTTATTATAAATTTCGTAATTACCTTATGCGTGAGCGTGTGCGTCTGTAACAGATGCGCAGCCGGCTGCGACATGACGATAGGCGTTAAACCATTGACCACTACGCTCCCACCTTCTGAAAAATTTAAATCGTCATTAAAATCGTGGTGTGACGTAAGCATTTCCCTTTTTATAGAATAAGGGTGATAAACCAATACACACTCCAACTAAGGGTGTGATGTGGTTCATACACATCTACATCTATCCTCGATTAAGAATCAAAATGCAGATGCGTTGTCATCTCGAGGACTTGAATCCTTCGTTTCTATTAAAAAGGGCTTCCGGTGTTCTACACTCAACATATGAAACAGTTTACGCTGGTATCACAGAATAAATAACAGTATTACGTACAGAAGTTGCACTCTTTTGATGTTGACTGTTTGCCGACGTTTTAATATCTTACATAGTTATTATTAATCAGATAAATCGCGCACGCAAGCTAAATAAAACTTTATCGCTGCGCGCGAGTGTTCGTATTAGTATGCATCTTTTCTCCATACTACGTCATAACGGACTTTCCGTGGTTACTAAAGGCTGTTAATAAAGAGTAAAAAAATACATTATGAAATTGAAAGTAAGTTACTTAGGTAAAGTATCTATTCTGACTATGACCAACCATAAATCCGCTACTATGTGAGTTCCGTGAGGCCCAACGCATGCAAGTTACAAGGCCATTCGTCGAGAATCGCAATGCTTAGCTCGTATAGGTAGGTAGATAGTGTAAACAACCCTTAATATAGTCAAAAGGAAAGGTCAATTTATTTCATTTATTTTTATTAAAAAAAGAATTAAGTAATAATTTAACTTCAAAAGTAATACCTAAGTACTTTATTACAAAACTTAGTTAAAATTTACTTCACTACCCAAGTACCTACTTACATACCTATACTTGTCTTTTGTAATCAAAATATTTTAAGTTATAATAACACAAAATACTGAAATTAAAACTTTGTCTACAAGATTTTTAACTAAGTAGGATACGATCACATTTCTGTTAGGAATCGCATTTCGAGTTTTTTTTTTATAGTATAAGGGTGACAAACGAGCACACAGTCCACCTGATGGCAAGTGGTTGCCGCGGACCATAGACATCTATATCTATCCTCTATTAGAAATCAAAATGCAGATGCGTTGTCACCCGTGAGGACTAAGATGGAATGCATCATTTCCAGTAAAAAGGGTCTCCGGTTCTCTACACTCACCATACGAAACACAGCAGCGTTAAGCTGCTATTTTACGCTGGTATTCTGTGAGAGCGTGGACCTTCCCCGGCCGAGTCAACCTATTCGTGCTACAACACAATATCGGTACATCATGGCTTTACTATTTATAAATGGCTCTCTCCTTGGACGCTTTTTAAAAGCATTTTTTGCACAAACAATTCTAGAGCCTAGTCTAGACCATAATAGAAGAGACGGCCCGTTTCAAACATGGCTGATGAATAAGAGGCAGAAAATTACGTGGGATGAGAAGGCGCTGAAGTGCCTAGGTCTAATATTCGTTGTCCTGATGTTGTTTTTACTAAAAAAAATGCTTCTAGAAACTGTTTCTATTTCTGTGACAACTTACAAAACAACTTTTAGTCGTCGTAACTTCCTGGCCCAATTATTTGTTCCAGAAAAGTTTTCCATACCCTCCATATATAAAATCGGATTATAATAATGAACGGAACTCTTAAAACTGCTTAATTTTTGTGCTATAGATTCTAAGGAATTATTTTAAAATCTAATTACACAGTACGGTACAAGTTGCGGCACGTAAGTCTAGCGCTGAACGAAACGTGGAGGTGCCGCGCACGAATTGAATTGCACGAATGCGACTGGAGAGCCAATCAGCGCGACTTATGCGCAATAACGGTCACCGTTAGACTTTCGTGCCGCTACTTATAGTAGAGTCGATATTATATTTCATTTCATAGACAAAAAAGTTCGCAATATCGGTCGTCTGCGCAGACCCTAAAATTTTTTTTTATATAAACAAAGTTGACTAATCTAAAAAAAAACGAAATACCTGAGGAAGCTGGCGGCGGTGACACTAGACCATTCTCTTTTGGTATCCTGTTGTTTTCGGTTGTAACAACGCCTGAAATTAAAGTTTTTTTTTTATTTGTAATACGTAGAACATTATAATAGTTCTGAAGTACTTAAATCATCCTCAAATTTATTTTCATCAATTAGTGTTTATATTTTATTTTATAAAATAACAAAAAACTATGAAACCACAATAAATATTTACCATAACTAATAGGGAAACTTAAAATCAATTTTGCTTCCATAGCTGGATATTTTTATAATGTCACAGATGGTGGATAAGAATAATTAAAAGGAGACAAACAGTGGTAGAGCCACGCGGCAGCTTTAGCTATTCCACGGATGGGCCGGCTCGAACCGGGGTGGTACCACGACCTCACAGAAAACCAGCGTGAAGTAGAGGTTTACCTCTGCGTTTCGCTTGGTGAGTGCAGGTGGCCGGACGCACTTTTTACTGGAAATGAGGCATTCCATCTTAGTCCTCACGGGTGACAACGCATCTACATTTTGATTTGTAATAGAGGATTGATGTAGATGTCTATGGGCCGCAGCAACTACTTACCATCAGGTGGACTGTGTGCTCATTTGTCACCCATATCCTATAATAAAAAAAAAGACAAAAGTGTGGGTAGAAACTCCCATTCGTTTCGAGTTCGGCGCAGGCGACGGACTTTAGGAGATTCTGTAAAAGTTATTAAAAAAGCTGACCTAGCCTTACATCGTGATGAGTATATAATAAGTGTTGCCGTTGGTTTGAATGACTAACCTATTTTAGAATTACGTTCATTACGTTACATTGTATGGTATGTGATTGTGTCGGGGATGTATTACGGAATGGTCGGATAGTAAATGAGCTACGCTGAATGTGTAGTGCTTTACCCAGTTTTATTGTTGTTAATGAGAGCTAAAATCCGCTCTCATGCATTATTTTCTGCCGACTTCCAAAAAGGAGCCGGTACTCAATTCGACTGTATGTTTTTTTTTTTTCGTTTTTTTTTTTTATGTGTGTTACCTCAGAACTTTTTTCTGGGTGAACCGATTTCGATGATTCTTTTTTTATTTGAAAGCTGGTACTTCTCGTGTGGTCCCATATGAATTTGATCAAGGTCAGACCAATAGTTTTTAAGTTATTCTTAAATAACTTATATTGAAGTCGGCTGTACAAAATTTTTAATTTTAAATTATTAACAATAAACTCTTGATGTGTTTCCAACAGTGAGAGACATATTGTCCTCGAATCTTCGGTGAAGAATAAAAATGCGTTGTTACTCCTGACAACTTAGACGAAATTCTGAAATATACGAATCAGCAAATCGGAATCGATCCAAATTTTAAAAAATATGTGCGACGTCGACTACAAAGAACCGATATCGCGAAAACAAATGTGATCAAGGCATGGCATAATCTCTACAGTGTGAAAATGAAAATTATCGATCCTGAATTCTACCGGCTGATGAGAAAAAGAACAAGTTATTTGGGCATAACAATCCAAAAAAATGAAGAGACAGTAGTCGTTTTCAACATCATAACTACACATCACACAACCGAGAGCTTGGATGGGAAATGTTATATTAAGAGTATACGTGACATTTAAAGAAGACTTTCAAAACTACTTCCTGCATTTCTTTTTCCTTATATCCCGAAATCCATAAAGCACATAAGTACCATTTTACTACTTACAACCAAGTACTTTCTCCGAACTTATAATGTCCTACTATGTACTACAGAGTAACTAAGATATCATAAATTTACCGTTAGTATGGACAGCCGCGGGCGCTTGCAACACTCGCAGACCACCGCCGGCTGACAACAGCTGTAATGCTGCCGGACCGACCACTAGTCCGCCACTACCCACCACCTGTGGACATTGATGAGGAATATTTATCATTAAAAACCTCTTTTAGAATTCTAGCACACTAAAACATACTGTTAGATTAACATTATACGTCCATTACATTCTACGCCGACGTAACTGAAAAATAGGTTCTGTCAAGTTAAAAATTAAAGAAAATCATTATCAAAAGATAGTTGTGCTGGATTTGTGCCGACACAATAAACGGGGTGGAAATAAAGAAAGTACGTGAAGTACTTTCTCTTCAGACACCCTCTTTACTTTCAAAATGCTTTAATGATGATAGCAATTTTACTTAAAGGCTATATTATTTTTTTAACTTAAATTCTAACTTAAAATTATTAATTTTCGAAAACCGTCGTACAACAAGTATCTAATCATAATTGTATGCAACATATATAAATATCATTACAGTAATTTTTGCTAGCGAAATAGTTACACTGTCACATTTCTACACTGCTGCACTAGTACTAAGTATGTGTACACCAGATATGGTACTTGTACTATTGTTATCTATTATGTGAATATGGTAAACATATGTACGTCCCGGAGGTGCATGCGGCCCGCGTTTCATTATAAAGCTGCTCCTAACCAGATCTAAAGATTTATATTACCTATTTAACAAACAAAGTTTGATGAATTCGATGATAACGCCGCGATTTGGGGAATTCAAGTTCCATATAATCCACCGGGGTTACTAAGTGGATTAGTAAGTGCTGTTGTCTAGCCCTGTTGTCTCTGTCTACTGTGTCCCCTAGCCCATAGTGGAATGAAAAATAAAACACTCAAAAAAAAACGTTTATTCCGTAACTCCAACCTTAAAATGATCTTTAATTTTATCATATGGGACACTAATTTAAAACTTTTACTGACTGCATTGTAAAGTATGTAAGTATGTCCGCCCTTCATGTCCATATCACACCGAGACGCCATGGCGACACAACCAGGTCGCGCTGACGCCATGGTGCAATAAAATATATCTCCATAGAGAGTACCACACCTATGATTGTTTGCGCAACCAGTTTGGTCATGCAACAACATGCGTGCACAGAATGTTATTGACGGCTCAACCGCGCTGGTTTGGCAACCAGTCGAATGCATTAGCACTGTATGGCGTCTCATACACTCAACCGCAAGTAGCGCTGCCAGTAAATCCGACTTTCTGTAATTTCGGCTTGTGTTTTAACTAACGAACATGAATTATTTGAACAATGAATCAACTAATGAAATGAACTACTAATGAATGAAATATATTACCTACATACAATAAATATATTTTTATAACATACCTGTGAGATGGGCAGATGTATTTGAGCAGGATGCACTAATGTTGTGCTGAGAGTGTTGGTAACGCCATTCTCAACCGTCTGGCCATTCTGTAATTTAATATAGAAAGTTTTTTACGTGGTAGAGCCATGCTGCAGTTATATTAGTAGTATAGTTGTAGCACGAATGGGTCGGTTCGACCGGGTAAGGACTACACTCTCACAGAATACCCGCATCAAATAGCAGCTTAAAGTTGCCGTGTTTCGTATGGGGAGTGTAGAGAACCGGAGATGCTTTTTACTGGAAACGGCATTCCATCTAACAATGTGACAATGCATCTGCTTTTTTTTTATAGGATAGGGTGACAATCGAGCACATAGTCCACCTGATGGTAAGTGGTTGCTGTGGCCTATAAACATCTACATCTATCCTCGTATGCGAACCAAAATCCAGATGCGTTATCATCCATGAGGACTAAGATGGAATGCCTCTTTTCCAGTAAAAAAGGGTATCCAGTTCTGTACACTCACCATACGAAACATAGCAGCGTTAAGCTGTTATTTTACGCTGGTATTCTGTGAGATTTTAATTCGATTCAAATAAAATTAATTTGAATTTGAATTTGAATTTCGTAATGAAGGATAAATGTAGATGTCTATAGGCCACAGCAACTTACCTTCAGGTGGACTATGTCCTCAATTATCACCCTTATCCTATAAAAAAATGATTTTAGTAACATTATTTAGAATTAATTATATCTTTTCATATTAATCATATTTAATGTTTTTGTTTTCTAATTCTTGGAATGCACAACAAATTTAGGGCTGATTTTTTCTGTTATCAGATAAAATACAAATACAAAAATAAAATTAAAATTAACAGTTTTATGTATTAATATCAATTTGGGTTTCCTAAACTTTAAAACGCTACTTGCCTGCGTATTAGATTCAGCTGGCGCAAGGGTGGTTAGAGTTAGGGTATTATGTCTCGCGCCGTACGAAGTTCTTACAACCTGAAATGTGATTAAATTGTAAAAAACATGATGATGAATGACAACCTCCAGGTTCATCCATGTAACTAGTCGATGTATGCATATTACTTCGGACCGTGAATAGTGGCTATTTTTGTGAAAGACATGACGTTAAGCTTTGGGTTGTAATCACGATAATGATGATGCTATTTTGGGGTTGTAAGTTTTATTATCCTAAAGTAATACAATCTATTATACATTACCAAAGAGATTCTCTTAGCATTGGCTACTTGTTAGACGACTTTTGAGCTATCTCATCTGGCATAACTTCCAATGTATCAAACAAAAACAAACCTTAAGCTTATCCCTTAGAATGTAAATTTGTATTAATGGCGTTAGTACGCGATCTAGTATTGCAAAGTATACGTGCAAGTACCGTAGTTCTGTAATTGAACCAACCATTCACAAATTATTTTGCTAAATCGGAAGGTAACAAACGGTCTTTAATTAATTTATTACCTAATACAATCTAATGCAGCCTCTAGCTTATTTGCCTTAAACAGGCCTTGCAAAAATTTACATACGATTTCAGAAGAAAGTCAAATTTTCAAGTTAGGTTGGAAGTAAAGCATAGCAGCCATTTTGTTTGTAAATAAATCCTAATAATTCCTAATCCGAGATTAGGTCAGCTCTAATTTCTAACGCAGTACCAGGCAAGCATACCTGCGAAGTAGTAGGTGTTATTTGTATCGGCAGCGTGCGCAACTTCGTACTCAAGTTTAGGGTGCGGGGGGGTGATGACTCCATTTGAGACATAGATCGTGGTGGAGATGAAGTAATCTGAAATTTTGGTCAATATTTCGTTTATCATTTCGTTATTTTACTTTGTGTGATATATTTATTAATTTAATTACTTTCAGACGTTCACTAAATATTTTATAATTATTTATCATTAAAATTATTAATAGCAATCCAAAATATTTTTATTAATACTTTATTGGCCATATAAGTTAGGTACAATATAGGTGGACTTAATGCTATAAGCATTCAATAATAATCAACCTTTGGTATTAAATGAAATCTTTAAAGCGGTACAACAATCACATGAGTCATATTATAACATAACTATACCACAAATTATGCATCTTACTTACACTAATGGGTATTCCTAGCACTTGACCGTTCACACTGCCGTCCTTCTCATCACTACCATCTGGAACCAAAACCTTTTTTTATAAAATTACAGTCAAAACGGAAAAACGAAATTACCATAAGAAATTAGTTAGTAAAAATCGCAAAGCAGCAATTATTTTTTGAAAACAAATCAAAACGCAGTCAAAGCATTTCACACAAAAATACCGGGGAACCATAATATGTTGTGATATCTCAGTTCTATTATTATTTTTTATTTACATTTTACAATATAATTGACCTTAGTAATAAATTAAATAACATAAATGTAGTCAGTAAGTAGTACCTAACATAAATATACATAATTTAATTAGATTAATTTTACTTGTTACCAAACATTTTTTCATAAAATTCATTTAAAAAAATAGCTTAGGACTATAAAGAAAGGACATGCCAATCCGCAATCAAAAGCTAAATATTTGTGCCTGAATGTACCAGGAGCGTATAAGTTACGTGAAGGTCAACGTACCGATATTGCATGGCCGGGCAGTGGCTCGGACAGAGACTTCTCGTCTCAAAGCGGCCAGTCGTTGTTGTGCCGCTATCTTTTCGCGAGCCAGCCTTTCCATTTCGTGCTCACATTCGCGTTCTTTGCGGCGAAGTACCTGTGAACAATGCACCAAGAAAATCTAAATAATACCAATCGATAACCATTTAACAATATGTTGTACACGTAATGGTTAGTTATTTAGAAATATAATAAAAAATCCATACACAAACTTTTTATTACATTACCATTACGTTATTCTTAGCTTGTTACATTAATCAAGGGCTAGAATACAATACAATAATCAAGGGCTAGAAAATAATAGTTGCTTTTACTAATAATAATTAACTATAGTGAATAGAGTACAAAGAACATATTTTTATGTTTTATCGATAAATCCCTGTTATATTTATTCGAAAGCAAAAAAAAATTATTACAATGTTTTTATCGAAAAAAAAAAACGGGAAAAGATGAAAGGGTGGTGGGGAAAATTCGAAGTAGTTTCTAAAATCGTTCAAATTAGTGTCAGACAATATTGACTGTCAGTAAGCTACAATTTTAATTGTCCTGACACTTCAGAACTGTCTATAATATCAACCAATTAATAAGATCTTAGAAAAATGCCACAACTAAAAACATTATATCTAAACATTAATAAAAAAAATTGGTAGTAGATCCACGTCTACAGTTCACTGTAACACATAAATGAGCAGGGTCGACCGGTGCGATACTACCCTCTCAGAAAATCAGCGTGAAGTGGTTAGCTTCTTAGTGCTGCCATGTTTCGTCTGGTGAGTGAGAGTTCCGGATGCCCGTTCCTTTTCCCCTTTTCTTAAAGCCACCCGAATGTTAACGTTTGCTAGATAAACCGATGTGACGTTGCATTGTTCTAGGAGCTGTGATGTTGCATTTACTAACGAGTGTCTGGTGGTCTTTCCCCCTTCTTTAAGTTCCTACTCCCATTCCTTCGAATCCTGTTCCTATACCTTATGAGAAGGCAACGCACAAGTAACACTCCTGTTGTTTCTTGTGTATGGGCAGCGGTGAAATCACTTAGCCATCAGGTGACCCGCTTGCTCTTTTTGCCTCTTTTATAATATACAAAAATTAAAATAAATACCTTTAGATAATTATTATTATGCTATGCAGCTAATGCTGAAATTGTGCCGCTGACAATTTATATAATGGTTGTAACAAAACAAAACATTTTTTCAGGTACAGTTGGAGAACATGAGACCATTTGTATGACTTTTGAAAACTGGGCAAGGTGGAAACTTTTATATGTTATTCTTACCCCGTCAAATTTTGGCGGATAAAGACGAAATGTTACAATAAATCCTAAAATCCAAAAAGTAGCGATATTTAGACATAGCAACATAACTATCAATTAAAAATAATAAGTATGTATACAAATAAAAGACTCGTAACTACCTCGTAAATCAAGTTACACGACACGGGCTAAGATTAAAACACCCGACTTGCTCGCGTAAAATTCACAGCGTAGATATTCCCTTATAACACACAACCGATCCCTCAAAACGACAAGTGCCGACCACAGAATACATGTGGTGCCGACTTGGTGTGGTACGTAACAAAATGGCGGTCTTATGGATGTTGCCTGCATTGGATAAATTACACAAAATCTGTCTTTACCTTTTTGTCTTACCCCGTTTTTCATCTTCCCCCCACTCACCCTACTGAAAGAAGTGGCTAACAATATTTAGCCGAAATTTGAATAATAACCCGTTCTATAAAAACCATATTATTATCAATTCTGTTTTTAAGTAATGTTGATAAATTACATAAATTTCCACATTGCTCTTACTCGTATTATTTTATAAAATTGTCTTCTTCTACCTAGATTAACATTCTTACTCCGCTAGAGTCCAGTCCAGATATTCTAAAAGAAATTTATATTAATCTTAAAATGGCTATAAAGTAATTTCTAAATTAATTCATCTTTAAATTCAACAGCCTGGACTCAAGTTCTTCAAGCTACCATATAAAATTTGAAAGAATCGGTGCAAGAAATCTTTCTAGGCTGCCTGATTGCTTCCGTGCAAACGAGCACACAGTCCACCTGATGGTAAGTGGTTGTTGTGGCCCATAGACATCTACATCTATCCTCGTTTGCGAATCAAAATGCAAATGCGTTGTCACCCGTGAGGACTAAGAAAGAATGCCTCTTTTCCAGTAAAAAGGGTCTAAATTAGAGATGCACCGGATCCTAGCATTGCCGGGTACCCGGCAACCGAGTACCCGGTGCAAGCCGGGTACCCGGCAAAATTATCCGGCATGAAAAGACACATTCCACTTTCCTGTTTGGGCCATAGATAATGTTTGGGCGCGACTGACGGTCAAGTGAAGCGGTTCGCGCCTCGCGCGTTCGTGCCAACCGGCGCACGCTCGATAGTTAGGAAGGAGAGGGGATTTACCTACCCACAGGCTGTCATTTTGCCACTATTTGTTTACGCGCTTGGAATGATAACTTTGACTTTATATACAATATACCTAACCCCAAAAATGTTTTTAAATTAACTATTATTCATACAGTGGAGCTGTCAACAACGTAAATAAACAGTTATTTTACTTGAGTGAAAACCAATTATGGCAACGTCTTCGTAAAAGTCACCAGTTTGGACCTATTTGACCCTAGATGAAAAAAGTGCTACGTACAATTTGTGTCAAGTAAATGTGTCTCGTGGAAGACTAGGAAGAAAGGCTGGAACCTCTTCCCAGAAAAGCATTTGCAATTCAAGCATAAGGGGGAGTATGAACAACTTTATGGTTCTATAAGTAACTCTCCTTCTCAATGTGAATCGGGCTCTGATTTAAACCTATTACAAAAGTCACAAATACGCCGTGATACAAAACAACCATCTTTGGAAGAAGTCCTAGACAAGAAAAACTTTGGGACATAAATAATTCCCGAGCAAAACGTTACCATCATCTTATTGGATCGTGCTGAACAGCTTGTATTTCTTCACCATAATTTACCTCTTTTGAATTATGAATATTGATGTTTAACATAACATAACATAAACATAAACACTCACGCCTGTCACCCAGAGGGGTAGGCAGAGATTATGGACTTCCATTTGACACGATCCTGACACACCTCTCTCGCTTCCTCCACATCCATATACCTACGCATACACGCTCGTCGGTTAAAGGTACTCTTGATATGGCCCATTTTTAATATATCGCCAATTTGGTCGATAAACTTTCGCCTAGGGCGACCCTTCCCGACTATGCCTTTCACCTCTGCAACATAGATTTGCTTTGTCACTCTTTCCTCATTCATTCTTTCTACATGGCCAAACCACCGAAGCATTCCTTTCTTAATCCTGGTCACAACATCATCTTGCAAACCACACTCTTCTCTTATTAAACAATTTCTCACTCTGTCATTCAGCTTCATCCCTAACATACTCCTTAATGACCGCATTTCTACAGCATTTACTCTACTCTCATGCTTCTTCTGCCACACCCAACTTTCACTACCATACATTAAAGTAGGTACTAACACAGCATTGTGAATTGCCATACGTGCCTTTTTGGACACATTCTGACTTTTCACAATAGAGTGTAGAGCCCCATTCACTCTATTTCCTGCATTCACTCGTCGTTCTATATCCTTATCATATCTACCATCCTTGCTAAACACACATCCCAAATATACAAACTCATCTACTTGCTCTACCAACTCCCCTTCTATTCTTATTTCACATATCGTTTTGCTGTCTTCTCTTTCAAAAACCATAACTTTCGTCTTACTTGCGTTCACTTTCATTCCCTTTTCTTTTAATGTCCTGTTCATTAATGTAACCATCATTTGCAACTCGGCTGCCGACGATGCAAGTATGACTTGATCAAAACGTTATTGATGTTTAATTAAAATAAATGCCGGTTTTTGAAATAACTTTTTTTAAATTTTATCTTAGACCTAATTACCGTATCCGGCGTCATTACCCGATACCCGGCCGGGTCCTGAAAAAGTGCCGGATCCGACGGGTACCGAATCCACACTGGGTACCCGTCCCATCTCTAGTCTAAATTTAACGAAATCTATACATATAATAAAATTTAAATCTAAATAACAAAAGAGACCTGTGCTTTGACAAAAACTGTGTTCCAGCGGGATTGTTTGACTGGTTGTAAAGTAAAAAATCTCACTATTTTGCTTTCCCGCCGATACATAATGTGCAGAATGATTTGTTTTACAATTTCCATAATGGCCAAGATCAGGACATCCTTCTAATTGTGTCCACTAAGGAATCCAGTCACTGGTTACACGCTTTACCATCAAGTAATTTCGGCACATTACTTGGTGGGGAAAGCTCGCGTATAGCCGTAGAAATGCCACTAGAAGCGACAATCTTTCTATCTCATCAGTGCCCTATTGGTAGCGGCGTCGATGAGTTTAAGCTCCACGAACTTGCACGTAAGAAAGGTGCTGGTAGATTGTCCCGTCACGGTTTTTTTAACGACGTTATCTTAAGGGCTCTTGTCTCTATAAATGATCCTTCCTTTTTAGAGCCTTATGGAATGTTGACTATGATAGAGACGACGACAGGAGATCCAACAGTATAACCTAGGCCTCTTTGGAGAGAGGTAAAGCTCTGGGTTGGGATGCAACGTGCTGCGTAGACGCTTCGGAGGCCTCAAATCTCAAGGGTGTCTAGTTTAGGGGCCTGGCCGGTATCACAGGCGGACAGAGTCGGACTAAACTAAGTAAATGGCGCGAGTATGAGTCTGTGAGAGATGACTACACATTTATGACATTTGCGGTGATACTCCTAAAGGAACTGTATTCGCGATCAGTCGTCGCTAATGACAAAGAGCTTCGTACTTATCTTGCTCAAAAGGCTAAGTATAGCCATTCAGAGTGTACAGCCAACGTTCTTAGAACTATACCGCGGGGAGTAAGACTGTGATAATTTTGATTTTTATTATTATGATAATAAATACAGTATACATATGTTTATGTTATATAAACAAATGTATTTGACATTTTAATCAATATGTTGGCATACTTCAAAATTAAACTCTGGTGATGATTGGTGCAACTGACTACTAAACAAAAAACGAACCAATCGGGCAATAGGATTAGTATTAACCGCAAACAGTCCTTAAAACGTTTACTACACAAGTGAAGACAGCGCTCATATTCCTTGCTTTATATTTGTAGGTATCGACCAAATTGGTGCAGCCAGGTCACGCAGCTTCGTTATTCCAATAACACGATTGTGTACTATGGACTAGGGAGGTTACGGAAGTGGTTATTTCGGAAGCGGAGATTTTAAATTTTGTTTGTCGGAACCGGAACCGAAATCGGAACCGGAATCGGAGGTAGAGGCACAAGAGATGTGTTAAGGGCAGGTCTAATGCACTGTATTTTTCTTTTCAGTTTCAAATTTTTTGAATTCTTAAAATTCAGTGTCATGCACAGACTTTAAATGACTTTTTAACGAAGTAGTCGTACCTCCCTTTCGTAAATATATCTTCTCACATAGTTTACACCTTGCCGCATTCTCAGAAACTTCATTGAAATAATTCCAAATGGCACTTGATGTTGGCTTCATTGGCCAAGTTAAATAAATTTGTTACATTACACGTCAAATAAAACACTACTAAAACTAATCAAAAACTCCGATAAATATAAATGAAGCGCGAACGCACAATATGCCAATTGCCAAATACGAAACAAAACATCAAGTTAAAGAGTAATCGACAGAAGGCACGGGGAGAAGGACACGCTGATCGTGGTCGCAGCCACCACTGTGCATCGACATCCGATATATAACTTCCGATTAAAATTTATTGGAACCGAAATCAGAATCGAACCTCCGTAACATCTCTACTATGGACTATTATTTACTTGCTTGCGCAAATCATTGATTACTAATGTCCCCGCGGTCATCCTCACAGCATGCTACCAAGTATACTTAAAATTCTTAAAGAGCAAGTAAAGATCAGTGCTCATAATTCGTGTCACTTGCGCAACTATACTTAAACTTTTAACAACTTTAGATAACAATCCTCTAGTTAGCTAAACATGTTAATTTAAAAAATAGAATTAAGTGCCTTATATAAGTAGCTTCATTTTATTTAACGTCCTAGATCCCAACGCGTGATTACTACGCCCATAAATTTTTATTGTAATTGTTATTAGAGAATAATTAATAGAAAATAAGTTGTAGCCGGGTTGCCTATTAAAATATGACCGCAAGTTAAAATTGATGATTATTATTAAAAAGTATTAAAAGACCTAAACATTTGGGTTGCCACTTTTTTATTAATCTTTTTCAATAGTTTTTCCGTATATCAGAATCATCATCCACACTTTCAGAAAAGTCATCCATTGTATTACTTAACATTACATCTTGAACTTATAACAGTGTTGGGGCTCCAATAAACCATATTGTTTATAGAAAACCATCAAAACCACTCAGTATTTTCAATTTTAATTTAAACATTTTTCTACAATAATAAAGAATATTATGTTATTATAAGAATGTAACTGTTATTTTTCGCGAAACCCTAAAATAAAAGCAGCCCAAGTTACTCCTTATAACATCAGCTATCTGCCAGTGTGTATAAATATTGACAAATACTGACATTAATATTTATACGATACTAACGTTACTCAATTGTTTTGCCTTCCCGGAACCCCTCCACTAACACTTAAACTTTATGGTATGGTATTAAAGTTCAAATTGAATTTTAAGTATTATTACGAATCTTTTGTATAGGAATATAGAAGTGTTGTTTTTAGACTTATTCAGGCAATTTTTTAAATTTTTCTCTCCGTAAGAACCATCTTCGTATTTCAAGGAATATTATAAAAAAAGAATTAGCGAAATCGGTTCAGCTGCTCTCGAGATTTGCGCTTAGCAACACATTCAACGATTCATTTTTATATTATAGATTTGATAAATTAATTAAATTAAATTTCATAACCTACTAAAACTTTTCAAGTGACAAATATCGTTCAACGTTCTTGAACTGCTATAGAACTTTGCGCCCGTTCAGGTTTCAACTTTTTTATCGGCCAAGCCGACAACTACGAACGTCGTTTATTCCGAACTTGGTCCCCTCTTTACCCGACTGCCAAGGAAGGGTTATCAAATTTATGTTTTTGGGGGGTTATCATTAATGCCTGAACAAAAAAATATCCTAAATAAATAAATACATATATACATCAAACTTTACAATTTTCTTGCGTTTACGCTTCACTGATTCTTTTTTTAATTAATAGATAGGTATTTGCTTAAAACATGGACAGACAAGGATGGTATAAATTTTGAAAGCACGACACGTTTTCCTATATGACTGTAAATATCATGCAGATTTACATAGGTAAGCACATACAAATGAAATTTTCCAACTAAATCTAATTCAATACAACACAATCAAACTAAAACAAATAAAATTATAAATAAAATAAAGATTCATTAAAAAAATAATTAATTATATTTAATTATTTTTTAATAAATCCCTAATATCGTAAAATTTATTTTCATTGCGCCAGCCAATTTTTTTTTCTAAATAAATTATTATTATGCCATTTGATGTAATGTGGTATTTTATTATAAATTCGAATACACAAGGTAAAACAGGTTTTACTATATTTGTATAATCACGGTACATCACCTAATACAAGTTTATTTTATTTACATTTCTTGCTTGTCTTAAGTTAATATCATAAGCCTTTGCGGAGATTATGTATAATATGTACAATATTTTGCAGGATTTATCCGATGCGATTCTACCAGATTCTACCAACAAGTCTAATATATTTCTTTTGTTCAGTAAATAATCTCTGTTTATCTGGACCATTGCCCCATATTACAACACCATAATTAGGATTCTATAAGTATGTAGATGAGAAGGACAACATTTCATCTTCTATAATTTTTATTATGACACTATTAGCTAAGTAGGAAGATATCCATTAAGTGGAAGTCCCCTGATACCACCGACCATCTCTAGCTTTTGTTAAAATAATATTTGTAATAATATAAAAATTAAACATAGACAGTGTACGGTTAGTTTAAAGTATAATATTTCGAACTAAACGCACCAACTTTGTCAGCACCGTATATCGATAATTATCAATTTTCAGATTTTTTCCTTTATATACGCTTATGATCTTTCTTAAGAACCTAGAAGTGGTAATGATAAAAATGGCACTATTCAGACCTTTTAGCTCAATGATTATAATAGGTTTATACATGAAATTTGGAAATCTAGGTATTCACGGAATCCTTATTAGATATGCAAAATAATAAATGTGTACGTTTAATAGTTTTTGTGTTATGATTGGGCGTTCGAAAGCAGATCGAAATGTTTCGTTTAATTATACTCACTGCCGGTGCGTAGCTCTTTTCTTTTCTAAACTTGGCTAACACACTGGCTTGTGTCTAGATTATGTTATCTGAATATCGAAAGTTGTCGCACTTTTTTGTATTTACTCGGCCAACGTGTACTGGAGCCATTAGTGGAGGGGTTTCGGGGAAGGCAAAACAATTGAGTGATGTTAGTATCGTAATATTATATCGTATCGTATCGTATTGTATAAATATTTACCAATATTTATACGATGGTAACATTGCGGTACGAAGTTCGCCGGTTCAGCTAGTTTAATATAAATTCGCAACACCTGGGAGGGATAAAAATCTCAGACAACCAATAATCGTGCACAAATCATTAATTTTTTTGAAAATATAGTTCAAAGTATTGTTTACGAATAATTACACACAATTCACGTATTGACCACCGTTTTATAGATTTTGAAGTTTTATAATTACCTGTATGTAGCGGATGGCGGAGCCTAAAATTGACAGATTCGACGTTTTCTTGTCATCGGGAGTGGCAGGCAACTGCCTCTTCAACAACTCGAAGCACTCCTTGAGGTGGGCCCTTCGGTTCTTTTCGAGCTTGTTGTGCACCTCTCGCGTGCCAGCACGCGGGGCGCTACTGCTGCTGCCGCTGCCGCTGCTACTCACCGAAGGAGGCGAAGGGACTTGAGCGGGCCTGAGGATCCAATCGTAAAACAGTAAACAGTTAGGTAGAACCAAACCATCATTTACCTTAGGAAATAACTTCTTACCGAAGGAGGCGAAGGGATTTGGGGGCCTGTACAAAATTAAAGTAAATTGTACACAGTTATGTAGAACGATATATATATTATAATATGTGATGAGTAGAGAATTTTATAAACAATTCACATGAATTAAATTTTCAGAAACCAAAGCAGAAGCGAAGGTTTATCCTATCAAGTTTTGTATTCATAGTTTCAAATGGACAGTTAGAGACAATAAAAATTAAGATGTCTTAATATCACATTGTATTAAGGAAAGTGATTGCAGAAAAGAATAAAATTAAAAATAAACCGAATAACTGAATAAAATAGTCAGTGGTCACCTCGACTCGACTACCAAACTTTGACATTGATAGTCAAAATATCTAATACACAATTTTAAATTATGGCATGAGCTATAGGTATACATATAGGCGGCGCATTAATGATGCATGCAGCAGTAGCAGCAGCAAGGCCCGATCTATCGGACAATGAATAATAAGAACGAGCAGATTGCATTGCATATTCAATTAGCTTTTGTTAATACCCAAACCTTGACAGCGATTGGATGAAAAATAAACGCGTACAACATATTCTACCTTAGAGTAATTATATTATATATATATTTACACTTCAGAACGATAGGCAAACGATGAATTTATTAATTTTTTACGACTCATTTTCATTTCTTTAAACATATCTTTAAACGTTTTCGATCGTATTCAGCATAATAAAAAAACATTTAAATAGTTTTTATTAGCTCAAGAGCTGGCGATTAATTTATAAGGTACATTGTTACTCTACAATTTTATATTGCAATATGTTGCCCTGCATACTAAATAAAGGAGGGAGTGGAAAGTCTGGCTGTATGGGTAATAAATAATAGGATCAAAAATTTTCAGATTCATCCATACGTCTTAAACGTCTGAGCATTATATTTGTGTCACTTTTTTTATTATGATATTATTTCCAAGCAGGCCAGTTAAAGCAGTATGAAATATTTAATTTTGCAAATTTTTTATACAAAGGAAACCTGCAAACCCAGAATCAAAGTTTCGAGTGGGATTTGAGGTCAATAAAATCGTCACTCAAATCCCCAGCTGTTTCAAACAGTGTGAGCACTAGGAGATCATGATTTGAAAGAGTTTACCCATGACTGATGCTCGTAGTACGCGGCCTGGAATGTTCTTGTACAAAATCAAGGAGGGGCGCGGGGGGAGGCACAGCGGGTGCAGGCACTGGGTCGGGCGGCACGGCGGGGGCCGCGGGAAGCGCAGGCGTGGCGGGGGGCACAACCGACACCGGCGTTGTTGGCCGCACCACGCCGTTGCTGCGCGGCGTCACCGACACCGACACTCCAGTTACCGCTCGCACCGAAACCGGCGACTTCGGCTCCTCCTCTGTAAACAAATGCGACACGTCAGAATGGCCTTTCCATTACGATAGTAGCAACGCTCAATATTGTCAATAAATTGCGAAGACCTCTCTTACACTCGCATTAGCGTGGTCAGCACTTGTCAAACCCGTGTCAACCGCTCGTCCGCGGCTGCAATCCCTGGCGGTAAAGTACCAGGCGAACATAAAGCGTTAGCCGTTCATTATTCGTGATGAGCGAAATAGCTGTACGATAACGAATGAGAAGGCATCATGACCGTTCATTTCATGCTTAAGTAGGGTTTTCTTCATAATAAACCTTAACTGCTCACGTTAAAGCTTAATATTAAATAACAGAAAATAATCACTCACGCAAGACTGACGGAGCAAGACAATTCATAAACACTATATTTAAAAAGAGACGGGGAAAGAGGCGTGCTCATTGCTCAGGCAATCAGATGACGTCATATCGTTTGCTTTACTGTTTTACGTTTTAGTTACAACTTGGTTACAACATCTAAAATCAGCTGCTTGATCACAGATTAATCTATGTGCTTGATATTATAATACACGTTCAATCGAAAATGTTTGACAATCAAGCCCAAAGCCAAGGTATTTTAGCTACCAAGGTCTACAAAAGGTTAATTTCGTTTATCTTTGACGTACCACCGACTAAATGTAATAATTATAACAGTAGTATTTTGTACTGACTACTGACTTTCTCACACACCCAAAGATCTTACAGTAAACCTCAAATAATAGTTGCATGTGTTGGTGTCGCGTATTCACTTAGGAACGAACACGTAGGTAATGTGTAATTAGATCGATATGATGATTTGAAATAATTATGAACTTAACATGCTCAATTTTTCTTATGTGCAATATCAGGTATGTTTCTCAAATCTTAGCAAAAAATAGCAGTTTTTAATAATATTTTAAACAGTTATTTCGTCTATAAAGCTATCAAATAGCGCTAAGGTGCTAACAATTTTAAACTTTAGGTAGGTAGGTACCTACCATAAATTCGAATTTTTAAAATTTATAATTCTAAGTAGTATGTATGTATTGTGATTTTAAGATGAATATTGTATAAAAACAATATTGAAGGTAGCTCAATCTCATTTTGGAAGTACTGTGCTCGAAAATTCATTAATTTTGATTGTATTGCTTCCAACGTGGTAGAGCCATGCTGCAGCTATATTAGTAGTATAGTTGTAGCACGAATGGGTCGGCTCGACCGGGGAAGGACCACGCTCTCACAGAATACCAGCGTCAAAAAGCAGCTTCCTGCTGCTGTGTTTCGTATGGTGAGTGTAGAGAACCGGAGACCCTTTTTACTGGAAAAGAGGCATTCTATCTTAGTCCTCACGGGTGACGACGCATAGTATTTGCATTTTGATTCGCAAACGAGGATATATGTAGATGTCTACGGGCCACAGCAACCACTTACTATCAGGTGGACTGTGTACTCGATTGTCACCCTATCCTATAAAATAAAAACCTAAGAAGACTCAAAGTACCTACCAACCTATCGTCTTTATTTGCTACCTCGGCCATCTCTGATGACATCTCTTCAATCGAAATTAACTCATGTGAATTAAAAAGGCTGCTGAAATTACTGACGGGCTTCCGGCTATTTTCCTAACTAGTTAGTGTAACTGTTAGTGGTCCTGTTATAAATAAATGTTCTAAAAGTCGGCATGAGCTTTGGTAAAAAAAAAATTCTGAAACTGGTGCTAAACACCTTCTGATATCGAACCCTGAATTCAATGTATGAAGCTGTACATTCACCTATCCCGGCTGTTAGCAGAGACATCGCCGAAAAACGACAAGAGAACAATAATGATCACAGCGGGAATCGCATGTTGTCCAATATTTACTTGGCCAATTTTTGTGGGAAACACATTTATTCCAAAAACTAACATTAAGTGTTTTTTGAAAGTGATTTTTGCGTTCCGTGTTTACTTAAATGGTTGCACATTGGTACGCCGAATTTAAACGTTTAAAATCATCCAGTAAATATGACCCTCGTTCAGGACGCCCTACGACAGCAGTGACTGAAGAAAAGGTTAAAAACTGGCCAAATGCGTGTCAGGCCATGCACAACAGGTTTCCGTAGTTGCCCGTCACAATACGTGGGCTTCCTTGATAATGAGTTTTACTTGATAGTCCAGTCACAGTACATTTAAATGTTGGAGAGACAAATATCAACAGGTAGAGTGCTTAAAAATTCACAATAACAGTTGAAGATGATGACGCATGAAGACGCTTGGTACCAAGAATAATTACCGTAACACAAATACAAACCGGGCTGAATAATATCCCCGGGGCGTTTTGGGACCGTTACGATAAAATCCTAGTCATTTGACTTGATTTAATATAGACGAAATGTGGTTTCACTTTAACGATCCCTAAAAAAAAGGACAGTCTATGACTTGGAAAATACTTTCATCTTCAATCCTAAGAAATTCATGGCAAGTCCTTCCGTTGGTTGAGACAGCCAAGAGGTAGTAATGATTGAATAGAAGTGGCAAAATATCGGCCGAATAGCTCAAAAACCGACAAGTGAATAAGATAAAGAGATTGTGGAGTGGCAGCCTCATATCGCAAGTGAAGTGTAGGGCGGCACCCGACCAGATTGAGCTTAGTCGTGGTAATATAATATGCAGAAATTTAATGGATGCAGGTGTCTTGGCTGAGGACCATGTTTTGGAGTATTTCATGGAAGTGGCTCATGTTCAGTAATGGACTTGAAATAAGAATCAAATCAACTGAATAAACTTTTATCAAAGTTCGAAAAAATATATTCAAAAACGCAGCAGCTCTACAAATCGGTTGGAAGTAAGTTTGATACATCTTTTCTTTATTTACTTATTTTTGAAGTGTTAAGTTTGAGAGTGAAAACTAAAGTTATTTGTTTGTTAAAATATTTATTTAAAAAAAGGCAAAAGAAAAAAAATCTCACTTGATTTAAAGGAAAAAAAATGAAACAAACACAATTTGATAACAAGGCTGTCTGACGCAAATATTACCAGGATAACATAGGAATCGGGATGGTTATGCAACAGGGGCGGATCAGTACGTGCGTCACAAGTTTGAGGGGGTTTCAACTGAAGACTACTGACCTGCGCAAATTGGTCGTGGCTATATAATAATATGGGAAGGTCTCTGAACAAGGAAATAGTGAGTAGCAGAACGGAACAAATAATGCCTTTAAAAAAATTAAAGGCTTATGCTACATAAGCTTTAGATCTATTTGAAGATGATCTTAAATTATTCAGTATCTGTATTATGTACACAGTGTCCTTATAAGTTATGACAGTGTTTTTAAAGCAAAAATATAAGTTTATCTTCTAATTGATTAGGAATGTTAATTATCTTATTACAACAAAAAAATATTTGAAAGGAAATAAAGTCAATGAAGTATAAAAGAGAACACAGACATTTTTTTGATTGGTTACATTTCTCCTGAGGAAATTCAAACGCCTCTTACATCGTGATGCTCGCCTGGTAGAATTGCGCATGGCGGCGCGCGCTTCCGACATTCTTGCCAAACGTGTTTTCCCTCTCCCTCAATTGCTTGTCGAGTAAAACACGAGGACTAAGTTAGATTTAACTTTATAAACAATTTGTGCTTTTCAGATGATTAAGGATTGTTTATTGAAAGAAACATTGGCGACATTAAATAACTAATGACAGTAAATTTAACTTTCCTGTAACATCAATTTTATTTCATTTTTGAGTGTTATTTTAAATTCAATGTACCTAGGTCATTGAGTTATATGTACTACGTACTAGAGAAGCCATTCCGAACATTGACTATGTTCAACTGAACTGTACTGCAATCCATACAAACTAAATATTGCGTAAATTGAAGATTTGTGAATTCCATAAAATTATTATTATTACATTTTATTTAGAAATATGTTTGTTTAGATTAAATTAAGATATTTTATATTAAATTCTTATATTTATTTTATATTAATATCTTATTTTATATCAAATTAAAGTCTTCGCGCATGCGCGGGAGTAAGTCGCGCATGCGCGAAGACATAGTAGGACACAATTTTTGTTTGGAATGGCTTCTCTAGTACGTAGTACATATAAACTCAATGATCTAGGTAGGTTAGCTCTATGAGTTGGGGACCCGTACCAGTACAGCATGCTTTTGTGTGAAATATATTTTACACTAGGTTTACTAGCTTAAAAATATTTTTAACATGGCAATACTTTAAATTCATAGAATTATTACACAATTTAATTCAAATTTAAAAAATTCAAATTACGTAATAATTCTTTGTTTAAATTATTTTAAGCTATTAATATTTTTGTCATACAGTTATGTACCATAAGCATACAATATTATTACGAGTATATCAGTATTCAGTAAATATGATCAGTGATTTAACTATATTTAAGTTAACAAAAATGTTCCTTCAATTATGGTAATAATTGTTGTATTGTCTGTGAGATTTGGGTTGTTTTTACTTTAAACTTTGATACATTTATCTCAACCCCTTATTGATAATATGTCAATACATGTTGTATTGATGCAAAGACATTTAAGTAGTAGTATACCTATATATTTAAATCTCTTTGTATCGATGAAATCTTTGCTGGTAACCCTAAAGAAACACAAAATATATTTTTAAGAAAGCTTATAAAAACCATTTTAAATGTTAAATGCATAAGTATTCGCTTTAAACTTTAGTCTGACGTGTCTGACAGTCAGTGTAAGAGCAAAGCGAAGTTGCGGGCCCTTGCGTCTGCAAGTGATAAGGGAGAAGAGAGCGTAGGAGGGAGAGGAGAGAGGACTGCGATCGACCTAACACGTGACAGCTAGTCACGCGGCGCGAACAGTCCCGAACAAGCTCAATGCAACAAAGTCGTCAATGTGAAAGGGAGACGAAGCTGTGTGCAGCGTGTGCTTGCAGTTTGCAAAACCGACTCTGGTGACGCATCGTTGTAATGATTTTTATTAATGTTAAAATAATTAACACAAATATAAACATATTATGTTTTAACA